AAAAGATCATTCCTAAGATTTCTAATATATTGAACGTATTGTTTGTAGTTTATAGTCGGTCCATATTTATCGACTTGACTAAGTCGATATTTAAAATTCGACTAAGTCAGAGTCGATTAATATTTTTTACCTTTGGGATTTCATCAATTTTTTGTCGTGACCTTACACGTATTTTATGTTCGTTGATTTTCTTACTAGTACTACGTACCAAAAAAGGTAACCAACCAGACAAAATTTGTGATGTAATTCATAAATATAAAAGGAAAAATATAAATAATGAAATACTTTTTGAGGTGCAATAACATTATGAAAAATTCAAAGACAATAACTATGATATTCGAGATGGTAATTTTTGCCTCAGGTTCGAAATTATAAATTTAGACAGCCAAAAAATAATCACATGGATAAGCAGAAATAATTTTATAATTGTTGGTATTAGTTTGAACTTTTATTTAATATGAAATGTGATGGATTAAAGTCAGAAACTTTCATAAAACTGTAATGGAAAGGGGCCCACTATTGTAATTATTAATCCATTAGTAAGATTTCTATAACAATACTGATGCTTCCCTACTGGTAATTCGTAATTTTATTTGATATTATAATAAACTATAAATACGTCTATTCGACAAATCATTGGTGTAATGATTTTCAATTTGATGGTCACTCCCGTCTCAATTTCGATTTTCTACTAAAAATGGAATACTTTCATGTTTTAGATGTGAGAATTAATGTTTTGTACGTATATATAAGCAACTTTTGTAAGCTTTATAAATCTAAAATTTTCCAAATGAACAGTTTAAATAAGTACAAGACTTTCGATGGATATTGCTATCAAGATGAAATCGATAACCCTGATCCCTTCATTACTTCGTCCTCTATATCAAAAGGAAATGATCTTGAATCCATAGCTCTCAGAATTCTTAAAAATATGAAGATTGATTGTCAATGAGTAAGGTAAAATAGATAATAATATATAATTATTGGTCGCTACGCACCCAATAACTATATATTATTAGTTTAGTCATCCAGATTTGTGAACTATAATCCAAAAAGCTACTGTGTATTTTGCTTACACGATGCCATTTATTGACTTCTAAGGCTGTGGTGAATAGAATGCATGATAAATAAATGCTTTGATGTTCAATCACTCTGAATGGTTATACCATTGATGATTCTGATTACCTTTTCTTTTTTTTTTTTAATATAGATTGTCTGATGGGGGTATTGACATTTTTGGAAACCATGAAGGGCATTTAATTTTAGTTCAATGTAAGAACTATACGACTGCAAAGATTAATGTCAGCGAAATTAGAGTTTGAAGGAGTGTTGTCAAGATACCCAAAAGACACCACGATAGGAATTTACGTAACATTAGTTACAGATGGATACTCAAGATTTGCAATTGAAAGAGCGGAAACATCGAAATTAAATATGTTATTAACAAATGCGTCAAGTATGCGTCAAGACATTTTTAATTACTTGTTTGAAAAATTAGATAATGATTCTGATGATTCTGATAAAGTATAATTGACGAAATAATTTGTAAGATCGAAAAAACAATTTGTGCGATGAATGAGGACCATAAAAAAAGGATGGTTGTTTTAGAAGAAAAGGTCGAAATTATAAATAAAAATCAAAAAAAAATTGAGAGAAAATTGGAAATATATCACTATCGCATAACGGGTAATCAGGATAAAACAAAAAATAACCAAAGAAAAATTTTAATATTATTAATTGTAATAATTGTATTGCTATTAATAAATTTGATTAAATAAAACAAAATTATTATTTCTGTTGCAATTAGAAAAATGAGTTCTTCAAATAATAAAAATTTTATTCTTAATGTTAAAAAATTTTTCAAAAAATTTTATTAGAAGTTTTCATCTAACCTGCCGCTATTAGTAAGTATAAAGAACATTCATTAGCCCATGTATATAATCAGTGCTAAAAATTCAGCACAAATATGCTGTGCAAAAAAATATTTTTATACAGGAAAAAACATGTACAACGAATTTTTAACACCGACAAATAATATCAAATTGATAAATATTTCACTACTCAACTTCATTTTATTCGTGTCAATATAAAATTCATCTCATGAATCCAGTAATGAATACATTCGATGAATCTTTTATGTGTATGATTATGTGATTTTTCAGTTCCACAAGACCGCAAAATCATGTGATATTATTTGCTTTAAGTAATTAATCATATATTTTTTAGGATTTAAATTTATTTAAATTAAAGAAGTACAAAATTTCGATATATAAATTAAAAACCTATATTTACATATGCACCTTTTCAAATTATTTATTAAACTTCCATTGTGCAGCATTTTAAATATCTAATAATTTTGCTTGTTCTCTTACTATTCAATTCCTTCTTTATTTTAATTAACAAATGTATACAAATATTTGGATCGCATATTGCACTTCA